GCTAAGAACTTGTAATTACCTCACAAGAAATAACAGATGTCCAAATGGAGTTATTTCAAGAGAAAACTCCGGAGGCAATTTAAATTATGTGGCTTGCTCTGCTGCATTGTTGTGTTCGTCTTAATGAAGTGAGATAAAAAGTGTGTGGGTAGAGGGGTTGGCGAGGGAGGGGGGGCAGGCTGTTCGTGAGACGGAGCTGGAATACCACGAAAAGCAACGGGGGACCTCAGTGCAGATGAGAGAGGTCATCTGAGTTCATCCACCATTAAGGCACACAAGGTAAGTCCTCAAGTTGTGGGGAGAAAAAAACCCCCAGGGATTTTTACCAAAGGCCAACGAAAAGATCCCCTCTTAAATTCAAGGGCAGAATAATAAACCAGTTGGTTGGCTTGACCAACGGCTCCCAGACCCCTTTGGAGGAAGACGTGATGAGCGAGGGCCAAGCCTGAAGGGACTTCTGTTGGGAAAAAAAACACTTTGTAAGGAACCCCAATAGTTTGAAAGCCTCGGGAGCTACAAGAAGTGTCCGCCACGGTGTTGTAAGGAATGCCCTGAAAGGGACCCCCCTCTAAACCACAAGGGCGGGCTATGAGGGTTGTACATGCAGTTGGGGGTGCCAACCCTGGTCAAGGTGGCCCACTGCCCCCCCAGGCTTGCCTAAAACTATTCCCTTACAATCCTGTCTGTCTTGGAAACAGTGTGGGTATCCATCTGAGCCTAGCGTCGTCTTGCAACTCAGGATTCCCCCATCTAGGCTGTCACCCGTAGGACTGGGGCTCTTCTTCCTTGTTCGTGTTGCTGCTGCTATTCTTCCGAAAATGGAGGTGGTAACCTTGGAAGCAGGCAAGCTTCCCAAGCAGGCATGATCCCCTGCCCCCAGAGGCTTTTAGGGAAGCATTTTTTCCTTGTGACGACTGCATAAAATGTCGGGTAATTATGCTAATTTCATTTGGAGAATGGTTTTCGGTTACACAAACCTTTAGCACGGAAGGGAGGAACTGCTTTCCTGGAGTTTTATACTCGCATTTAATCATTGGTGTTTGGCTTCTGAAGCTTTTAAGGCTAATGGGTGTCTCTAAAGCAGCCTAGGAGGCTGCGAGGCAACGGAAATTTATTCCTGGGCCCATTTGTCAGGAGATAATATACAAGGGAAATTTAAGTAGGTTTGTGCCCTGCTCTCTTTCTCCCGTGCGCCCCCTCCCCGCCGACGGAGAAGGGGAAGCGTCCTGTTGTCTAATCTTTCATCTGTTTGAAGGGAGGGCGCATGTGTGAGTCCAATTCCACATGTGTTGAGACATCAAGCCTTTAGGATAAGAAAAATACATACAGCGCTGGTCTGCTAAGACACCTCACCTCCCCGAGATCCCATCCATTAAAAAAAGGGGGGATTTGACAAAGTTGTTCCAGGAGCAATCTCAGGTTAACTGGGCCGCGGTGCCAGGCCGTTTGTTAGAACAAGAGCATCAGGCACCAAGGGAAGAAGATGTGGTGTCAGAGAGAGAGAGAGAGAAACCGTATGTGGAATATACTGACTAGGATGCTGGTGCTGACAGATGAATGGGTCACCCCATGCGAAAGCAATGGATCTTTCAATCAAGAAAAATGGGGGAAATTACACGAGAGCACATTTTACACCACACCGATCTAAGGCTTCACAACTAGCTATAACCAGAGGAGAGAGACCTACACTTAAGACTCCCCTCTTGCTGAAAGAGAGCAAGGATAAATCATGAAACACAGATTCAACACAGACAAGGCTCAGACGACTTACCTGAGGTTTCTGGGCCTGTTTTACTGACAGGACCCTTAGTTAGTGTAACGATATCTACGCTGAAGAGAGCAAATTATTGGCAGAGGTTCGTATCATTGAGTCAACGGCCATTAACCAGTACATCTGCAACTAGCTAAAATGGGTCATAATAAGCTAGAAGGCAACTAATGACAAACACACACACACACACAGACAGGGAAGCATCATATTTTAAAAGGCACAACCTCGGTTCTAAAACTACTCCAAAAATGTGATAACACATATGTATTGTTTGGCGAAGGAAGAACATTTCCTGCTGGAAAAAAATATTGGTTGACTTATATGCAAATTTATCTAAAAGCAGTTGAGTTCAATGCATGAGAGTTTATACCTATGCCTGTATCTCTCTGTGTTTACTGGCTGTGCAGTTTTGTGTTTTTGAGGCAGAGTTATCAAATTACACACACACAGACACACACAGATACACACACACACCCAATGCCACCACAGCCAAGGGGCATTTGTGCTCCTGTTGCAAGAAGGCGGTGGGTTCTGTGAAGGAACAGAAGACTTTGAATCAATTGGGAGACTCTTATGGAAGTGCAAGATGCTTGATGGCCTGCTGACACAGGCTGCAGGTAACACACACACACACACACACACACACACACACACACACACACACACACACACACACACACACACACAGACACACACACACACACACACACACACGTGTGATGTGAAAGAAAGGTGAACACACAGGACCTGCTGCAAGGAAGATTACAGTTTGCCGGCAACGTTTCCTGGAAAAAAAAAATCCAGCCATAGCGATCAACTCTGGGGGAATTAGACATTTTTTGTTTTTTAAAGTAGGAAAGTTCTTTCTTCAAAACACACACAAACAAAATGAGTTAGAAGCACCCGGAGGGAAGCCAAGTGAAATTAAAACCTGCAGAATCAGCATGGAACAGGGGCTGAGAGGCTGCCTGATTATCTCCAGAAGGCAGAAGCAACTGAGGGGTGAAGAGATGAGAGATGAGTCAGTCTTTGGGGGCTGTGGCTGTGGGGAAGGTGTTTGGGGGGGTTGCGGTGTGGGGGGGTTGCAATGTGGGAGGGGGAAAGCCCCTTTGGTAACCCCCCCCAACGTCAGCTGGGCAAAACGGCAACTGGAGACCCAGAATCTAAACAAAATGTCAGACAAGAAATCATCATCAGTGATTAGTCCATATGATGTTTTCGTGATCTCCTGGGAAAGAGAGAGAGAGAGAGATGGTTTATGGTCATCCCCCCACCCCAATAAAACCACTCATGGTTTCACTATCCTGTTTCCCTGTAAAGAGTAAAAAGAATGCCTCTTTCCTTTTCACCCAGCTGAGATTATTATTCTTAAAACATCTCCCTCGGGGATTCAAGAGCTGTCTCACTTTGCTGGTCAACTCCACCTGACTTGGCTTCGTCTTGCTTTTGGAAAAAGGAGAATGACCCAAGCGCAGGGACATCGTCTGGACGCGAGAGCTGCCCCTACCCGGGGGGAGGGGGGGGGACACAGACGACGACACCAGTTACCCAGCCACGCGGACGGGGGCCTCTTGGGGCAAACCTTAGAGTGGCTGCCGAGCTCTGAGGTCCCACCGAGCAACCATACGAAAACCGAGCCTTGAGGAACAACCGGCAGGAAAAAAGATTAGTCACTCTGCCCAGCATCGCAGGTCGAAGCCCGCTTCCCTGTCGAGAGAGCAAGTGAGAGCAAACCTCGGTAGGGTTGTTCGAATTCTCAAGACGTTTCTTCTTTGGTCGAGGGGGGGGGAAGCAACAAAAACAACACTGATCCTGCAGAGCGAGGCCTCCTCGAGGCTCTCTCTCAAGGGACTCTCTCGTCTCCGCTCCTCCGGAGCCTTTCCGCTGGTCCTTGCTGGGTTTAATAAGGCACAGGTGGAGGATGAACTGGTCAGCAGATCTGCATTTGAGGACTCCGACTTCCCCCAGCCGCGGGGAGATGTGAGTCCGAAGACACAAATCTGCCTCCATGTCACCCCGGAGACCGCCACCGCCCAGCAGCGGAGACCCGCGGAACCGACGCCCACTCCCTGGATGGCATGGCCATCCCATCATCCTACTGTCAAAGCCAACCACACAGGCTCCCTGAGAAGGTTCGGTCCTCTAAACATGTCCTGATTTCCTTAGGCCCTGGAAGGAGAAAAACGGGCAGCCGGGCAAGACGAGAGAAATGAAACGAGGCAGCAGAACGAGAGGGTGAGGCCGAAGGCACCCTGGAAGGAACAGGTATTGTTACTGGTCCAGGCCACGAATCCCAAGCAGCAGAGAAAAAGCTCGTGGTGTTGCCTAGGACTGGAACACAAAAGGAAACCAAGGCGCAGAGACCGTCCCGGAGGCGAACGACGATGACTGCTGTGCTAAGCTAGTGGAGGAAAAACCATCACAGAAGCACCGACGGTCCCTTCCCTTCTGCGCCCGGGTGGCATTCCACACGTCTTATCAAAAACAAAAAAGGAAGAAGGGTGAGCAGGGGAGAGTAAAAGCGATACTGAAAGCATCCAGAAAATGGCTGTGATGATGAAAGATGGCTTGGGGGACCCCACATCTAGTTAAGCAGCAGTGGGGGGGGGGAGATGAACTGGTGGGGAGGGGCCAAGGGGCATGGCTGGTGAAGCAACTACTTTGGCTCAGGCAGGTCTGGGGAGGTGGGAACGGGGATCAAAATTCACAGGCAATTCACTTAGGAAGCATCGGGGCAAAATCCATCTTGGGATTCAGCAGCGCGGGGCACGGAAGCACATCAGGATAGCTGAAAATGAACGTAATTCCCCGGGATGAAGGCAGACGCCTGTTGGAAGTTCAAGAGGAGAAGCCGTACTTCACAGTTTAGAGAATAGCAACTCGGACCAAAGCTGCATTTCTGTCTTTCTCGACCGGGCAGATTCAATGCATCTTAGATTTCTCTGACAGAGGAAGAGCATTATGCGGCCGGCTCCACCTTTCCGTACCGGCCCCCCCTTGACCTTTGCTAGTCACATCATGTTGGCAAAACAAAACTGGGATACTGAAGCAAGAATCAATGAAACAGGTTTTGGGGGCTGGGGTGGGGGGTTACCGTTGGCGGCAGGTCGTCTCTTCTCCTTGGGCTCCTACCCCATCATCCCACCCTTCTGATCCCCCTCAAAAGGCAACCCACACATTTAGGTCTTTCCCTCCAACCCCCGTCCCCCGGTTCATGAAAGTACCGTACCTGTGGCAGTGGTGGCAGAAAGGATGATAGTGGTGGTGGTTGTTGTGGGTGGAGGGAGAGTTGTGGGGGGATCTAGATAAAAATAAAAAGAAAACAGAAACAGGGAAAAAAAAGCAAATTAAAAGCAATGAGCACAACACAAAATTGGTCAATAAATTAACAAAGAAGCAAAACAAAGGATGATAGTTATACATTCGTGCTTGGACATATAAAGATGAGTCTTAAATTTTGGTGGAGGCAGAAGAGGACGAGGAAGAGATGCTACCATGTGGGGCTGAAATCCCCCACATGACCAGACAGTGATGCATTGGTGGATTTAGTGTGACGGGGAAGCGTCTGCACCACAAGCATAAGGACATGGGGAAGACAGAATTAGATGGAAGAGCATGAGATGACATGGGGGTGGGGGAGAAAGCCTGTGGGGGGAAACGGGGGAAAAAAAGAAAAGAAAACCCACATCAAACCAACAAGTTGCATTTTTTCTATGGCACCGAGAACAGTTTGCAACACAGAAGAACAACAATAAGGTTTTGTTTTTCTTGTGGAATTAAAAAAAATAAAACAACCCACAGCATTTGAAAAATGAGGGGCTGGGAGGGGCAGGAGAGGCTCCCCGCCGGGCTTAACAGACTAAGTATCCACCGCAGACGAGGGCCTCTCTCTGGTCTCCCCCCCTCCCTCCCTCCGTCCCTGCGCTTTGCTCCGGAGCAGTTAACTTCATTATTCTCTCCTCCATCAATACATCCCAGCAGGACATAAAACGACTTCTAAGTCAGTAATAAATACAAAAGGGAACGAGAATGTCACAACTAAATATCAAGTTGGATGCATGGAAGATTTTAGTGAGATTCTTTTTTAAAATAAAGTCAATGTCTTTGTGACTTATAAATATTAATGCTCTGCTGGGGCTCAGACATTTTTCCCGTTTTATAGATCACGTCTCCCAATGGCCCCCAAACAGATAAAGATGAAGAGGATTTCATTATATATATATAGAAAAGCACCTTGGTCAAGAAGAAGGTTGACCCGCCAAAGCCATCAGCAAACAATCTCCAGGAACATCAAATATGTATAAAATATTGTGAGTTCATAAAAAGTTACTAGGGGAGAAAAGATACGGGGAGGGAGAACGGGGCTCTCCCCCCCCCCCCGCATGCAGATCAGTGCACAGATGATGAAACCGAATGTGTAAAGTAGATCAGATGACTTTGAACTCAAGAATGAGTCTGCAATAACGGAGCATGAAACGGTTCGGAGGCTTTTGATTTCAAAATTTATCTCCAGCACGTCAAACATCCCTTCACGGACACATCTGCTCTTCTTTCATCTCTGAGTGAGCTCTCGGATTTTCTAATTAATACCTCCAAACTTTAATTTACGTGCTTCACTTTCATTGCATTGGGCGCAACTTCACTGAGAGACTGGAGACATTGCTCGGGCATGGCCGAGCAACCGACGGTCGGCCAAAATGCCTGCCTGTTACTGGGGGCCTTTGGTGATGGGGCTGCGGCTGAGACCCAGAGGCTTCGTAAGGGGACACCTCAGAGCACTGGATTCATCATCTGCTTAACTGGTGGAAAAGTCAGTCTTAGCTACACAAGGCGGAAGAGGGCACTTCGGGGCGAGGGGACAGAACCACCCGCACCCATAAAAACACTGTCCTGTATTACACAAAGATCCACCTTCTAGATTCTAACCTGGGTTCTGTTGCTTTGAAGTCAAAAAGGGCTCTTATCCAAACCCTGGAACTGCCTTGCTCCCTCAGATCTTGTCTCACGTCTAGCCTCCAGTTAGGGAGCCTTCAACTAAAATACCTCCACGGAGCCCGGGAAACCTCCTGCAATCCCTACCATCTGGAATGGAGCACCCCCATCTTGGATGATACCAACCATAAATTCTGGCTTCCAAGAGAGTAAGACACCCCAAATGACACCAACCCCCCCCCCCACACATTTCCAGATATCCTGACAGCCCACTCTTAATTCATTCAACTGCATCAGATGGGAACTGAATGTCAATGCGGTAAAAGGGATGAACGTGGCCAAGCTGGGACATCTTCAGATCAACAGACCTCTAATTGATCCACAAAGGGGAGGGGAAATGAAATAAAACGAAGCATGGGCAGCAACAGCTAACAACCCACTGGGCAACATTCAGACACAAGATCTGTGACCAACGGGCCTTAGGTTGGGGGTCACGATGCTGTCTTGCGAACCATCTACATGTCCAACTTTCCAGCTTGGTTTGTTTACATTTGGCTCTGTTTTGTTCTTTTTTAAACAACCAGGGATGCAAATCATCTGAACTTCCGAGACCTGCCAGCGCCTGTCAGCCACTGTTGATCGATTCTCTCCCCTGAGGGTTTCCCGCTGAAAACGGGTAGAAGCAGAAATATGTTGTGGTTTTGCGCTGAAACTCTGGCATTCGGACCGAACATAGAATCTATCAGACCAACTCACTTCACGTTCCTGTGAAGTGGGTAGTAGGTGGGAGATGAGGACCCACCCCTCAGGAAAGTCAAGCATGGGTTCTATTCCATTCATTGGTTACGTATAAATCTCTCCTTTCTGCCTGGAAGCAAAGAGGCTTCGATCATGGCATTTTTCATGGCAGCCCCGTCTTCAACCTCAACAGAAAAGAATAGTAGGTTCAGGGACATCAATTCTCTAATTGTTCTCCCTAAAAGTAAAGTGAATCTTGGGAAAAGCACAATCCTGGATGTCCTTTGGTCTCCTACACCTTCCAGCTTGACCCGTTCTGAGCTACCAGGTTATGGTGGTCTTGTACCATATTCAGGTGGTCACTGTTTAATTTGGGCAGTCCAATGTGTAAGCATCCCATGGACACATCCAAGAAAGCCTAACCACATGGGAGTGATTTCAGACAAAAGGGCCACATCCCTTCCATAGGAAGAAGACAGAAGAAGGTCTCAGAAGCTGACATTCTTTGCTGAGATGCCAGACGATGTACATCTAGGGCCGACTGCTATTTCTCTCTCTCTCTCTCTCTCTCTCTCTACGCATTTCCTTTAAACCTGGCACACTGATCAGAGTGAACTGTGAATGTTCAACCTACATGCTCACAGCTTTAACCCAGTACATGCAAAAGCACAAACAGACAGACATAGAGGTAGAGAAAAGCCATGATGTTAGTGGTCTTACATAGGTAAGCAGGGACTCTGAGAAACCTTATCTTCTGGCGGAGGTTGAAAGAGCTGCAGGACATGCACTGCGTCCAGCGGAAGCATTCTCCTGCCCTATTCTGAATATGCGCCTGGACCCAAACACGGAGCCCAGTGACTGCCAAGCCAGACCGCGCCCGACTGCCACAGAGCCACCACATGGGACACCGCACTGGTCCAGAAATCCAGATCAGACAGTGGCATCAACCTCCCTCTGTGGTGGAACGCTAGGTTTCTGCTGGGGGCCCAGGCAGCTGTGGTGATCCATGAAAAAAGCCAGGGGATCAGCCTGGGAAAATGAGGAAAGGAGCCAGGCACCTCCTCGGCACCCTGAAGCTTTATGGCCCTGTGTGGTAAACAAAAGTCCTTCCTCTCCCCGCAGCTGTTCTAAAGAGACTCCCCCCCAAAAAAGAGAGGGGGGATTCACAAAAACAGCACTCTGGAAACACGGCCGCCCACATCTGAGGTCTGGATTAATCCGTCCACTCTCCATCCTTGACAGCTTGGCAATGCTTTCGCGTCACACAGAGTGCACCAGAGTCTTCCCAAGGTTGAAAGCATTTGTAAGGCCGTTCTGGAAAAATACCATTTCATTTTTCTTCTAAAAGGCTGAGCTTTATAGCTCTTTCTGCCACAACACTGGAAGGAGTCAGTTTTTTTAAAAAAAGCATCCTCAGAAAAACAGAAATAAAACAAGTGAGTAAGAGCTCTTTCAGGAAAACGATGGGTCAAATGTTTAGAGAGACTTAGAGAAGTGGGATTAGGGTTTATTGTTGCAGATTATGTTTGGGGCTGCATTACCTGTAAACCCCTTTACACAATTTGGCTGAATATCAGGAAAAACATCTTAACAGTTGGAGCGGTACTACAACAGGACCCATGACTTCAGAAGGTGGTGAGCGCTACAACGCTGTGGCGGCATTCAAGAGAAAATGAGGCAGCCCTCTGTCAGATCTGCTTCAACTTGGTTTCCTGCACTGATAAGGGGGTTGGATTCAATGGCCTTACAGGCCCCATCCAGCTTATTTATTCTATGATTTAATTTGCAAAAGAGGAACTAGTTCAAAAGATATACACACACTCACACCACAAAACCTGACAGTATCTGTTCAAATGCATTTGTAGAGAATTAGGCTGACTTGTAAAGGAAATGAGAGAAAGGCTGCCCTGGACTGTGAAAGGACACTAAAGGCCTCCAGGAGGCTTATGCCCGCATCTCTGACCAGCGCGTCTGGCCCCTCGGACCACCTCTTTTGCCTCCCAGGGAAGCCCACAAGGACTGTGCTGGCAGTAGACACCTTCCTAGCATACGATGACAACAGACTTTGAACCAGGAGAGGAATGGATAAAAGAAGAAGAAATAAAAAGGTCATGCTTTGTCACGTCATATTGTTGTTTCTATTGTCCGAATATCACGCTTGGGCCTTATCACGGATTCCTGTCCTGAACCGCCTGCTTGTTTACTCTGCCTCTCCCCTGAAACCCACAACCCCTCCTCAAGAAGGGAGGGAAAAAGGTTTTGAGAGAAATTCTCTATCAAGACACCTGTGAGGAGGCTGTGCTGGTCTCACGTACCGTATACATAAAGTGTGTAATCAGAAAACGACGTCCCCACTTCGTTTGACGCCTCGCAGCGGTACGTGCCGTTATCGCTTTTGTTGAGGCTGTCAATGTGGAGGTTTGAACCTGACACGATGACGTGCTGAGGCATCTCGTCATCCACTCTTAGCCACGTCACGTCTACGGGCCTAAGGAAAAGAGAAGAGAGAGAAGTGGACGCGTTACGAACCCTTCCCACTGGCCAAGCCATTGTTATAAGCAGCACCCTACCTCCCTGCAACAGAAACAAAGGCCCGGCGCTAAAACATTGGACCAAAGCAAGTTCCACGAAGCCTGTTCGCACCAGAAGGTGGAGAACAGGCTGTGCCCAGGAAGAAAGCAAGTGGCAAGGGGTAAGAATGAAAAAAAGAACAGCCACAAGACATAAAAAGAAATAAAAGAAAAACCCAGCTCCTCAGGAAACGTCCTCAGGTGTTCAGCACCAGACTTGTTTCCTGGGAAGGGAGTCCCCATGGAGTGTAGGGGGAACGAGTCGCCTTTGTGCATGAATTAGAGCTAGACTCTCAGACCTGAATGCGCAAGACGAGATGGTGGAGAAAAAGGTAGTTGGCATGGGGAGGGTGGGAATGGCGGAGAGCGGAGAAGAAAACCTTCTGTAACTGAAAAGGTCAAAACGGGAGTGTATTGATCAGCACCGTCGACGGGAGGGCAAATTCATTAAGAGAGATTGAGGGAAGTCAGGCACAGGAGAAAAGAAGGAAAACACTGGACGGTAAAGAAGGACAAACAGAAAAAAACAAGGCTAGGATCAGGTGGGTTGTGCGCTTTGGGGAACGAGACAGGCAGCGTTCAAGAGAGTTGTGGGTCCTCCCGTCCTGTTGCTTTTGCAAGTGTGTTGTGTCAAACAGGTCATGGCTTGTAAAAATCTTGTGCTTCCAGGCTCTCAAAGAACTGGGACACATGCAAGGGTCCAACCACTGCGTCATGGGGAATTAGAACTCAAATCAACGGGTAGCTGTTTGGCATTTCTCGTTTAGGGGTTTTGGAATGGTGGTGATAATGGTGGTGGGCAGTAAAAGGAAGTGCCTCCTTTATTTAATATGAGCAGGGGAGAGGGGCAACATGGCCTGGAATCTCACCGGGAGCATTTTTCAAGAGAGAGAATTTCATGGCGTTTCCTGTGTAATCCAATCTCCTTTGGGTGCGTCATTATTCCCTTCCAGCCATGCTACCTGCTTCAGTCATCAAAGAGATGTCTAGACCCATCAACTGAATGAAGGGATTCAGGGGAGAAGGTGGAAAGACCTGCTTCCATGGTTTGGCTCTTCCTGTATGGGGCATCGTAAGACCCCCAAGGAGACCTGGGCTGGAGTGGAGAGTGGCCGAGAGCTGCGTGCGGAAACAAGATGCCCCAAAGGAGCAGAAACAAGACCCATTCGGGAGTTGAGAAGCCCTCACTCTGGGGACCTTTGATTGCATTGCTGGAGCTTGCAACTTACTCTGGTTTCCCCTTCACTTGGCACAGAAGATCTAAGAGGTCTCCTTCTCTCGTGAGCGGCTGCCCCGGGGAATTCTGGAGAACTTGGACTTCGGGTTTATCTGTGCATCAAACATGGAACACAAACAACGGAAGGAGGGAAAGAAAGAGAAGGGTTAAGGACAGCAAGCAGTAGCAACATGACCAAATTCCCCACGCATCCTTTTTTTCTTCCCCAAAGCACACCCTGAAACGAAACCCTCTTTCCGACGCCGCTCCACCCGCCTGCCCCTCTCTGTTGCACCCTTCTAATCAGCAAATTATCCTGCCATTTGCCCCCCCCCAAATTAAGTTGACTAATAACCTCCAAAGCCCAACATGCTGATAAGGGAACGTGCGGCGCCAAGGGCTTGCGGCAGCCCCCACTGGTTCTTGCAAAATGAAATTTCCTTAAATTGAAGTTTATCTCTGAACTCACTCGAGCTAAAGGAAACTCATTTGCCTTCATGCTGAGGTGAAACGGCAGATTTGTGGTGTTCAGAATTGATACGTTTTATCATGTATCATATTTTATGGGCTGACAATACTCAGTGCCATGGCATATTAATACGTCGGGCTCTGATGGGAGCATTAGTGCCGGAAAGGCTTACGGGAAGGAGCGGCAGATCGCTGCCTTTTGTTGGAACAAAGCGGAGGCTCCCGTCAGCGCGGATGAACCTCGCAAATCCCCGAACACAAACACGCCGAGGAATTAAAAGCGCTTTTATGCCCAGGCAGGGTAGCCGGAAATCCTTCCCAAAGACCCGGTAGGAACAAAAGCGGACGGCCGCCGCTGAAAAAGCCCACTGCCTTCCTCCCGGGCGCAGGGAGAGCAACAGGCAGGGCGAAACCAAACCCTTTCGGATCGCAGAGCGTACCTGCTTTCTTCCACTCCCCGGCCTCAAATTTACGGTAAATGTCGCTGATAATAAGCACAACAGTAACAATGGTAAACAATAAATCATAGCAAACAATTATTGTTGTTGTCGGCACCGGTTCCCGCCCTGGCAGATAAACGAGGTGAGAAATCCACACACGTTGATTAATACACTGTCAAGATGAAATACTTTGTAATTAAGTTTGCTACCCTGCATGTGCCGCAGTTGAAAGGTACAGTATTTTTTTTATATTAGATTTGTGGGGCATTTACAGAACACTTTCAGAAAGTTTATATATTTTTTTTAAAAAAAATTGTTTTGGTCATGTCAGAAGGCAGCGTGAGCTGGAACAGATCCAACCAGCCCGACAGAGCAGGATCTGCTCTGGAGGAAGGATCCTTACGTTGGGCTGCCGGTGAGCGACAGGGTGCCACTGGGACTTGACACCCACGAGCCTTCAGCCAGTCCCGCATGAAGAGAGAAAAGACACGTTCATACTTCCGGGCAGTAGGTAAATCTGTGTAGCCTAACGTGGATTTCTTTGAAAAGAAATGAAAAAATTTAAAAAAATGGAAAATGAAACACCTGCAGGGCTTTGATGGAGGCTGGGAGAGAGAATAATAAGGCGTCTTTAAGAAGTGTGTTCTTCAGAATCTGGAGAGCGAGAGTCGCAAGGTGAAACAGCAACATCTATTTGAAATAGACAGCTATACATATTATCTACAATACACACACACAGAGAGAGAGAGCAACAGAGAGGATGTATTTTCCGTGAATGCAACTCAATGCAACATTCAGCCTCTTGAGAGCCAAGAAATGGCCACCTTCTCCCCACACAGTTGGGGGAGATAAACCCAAGAGTCAATGTGTGTTGCCTTGACCATGGAGAAACTTCCATGATTTCCCATGCCAGAATATTCCAAGATGAATGTTCTCTCCCCCCCCCCCTTCTAGTGTTGCAATCCATGTTTGAATTTCATGAAGAAATGAAAGTTCACCTCCCCTTCCTTCCCCATTTCAAAAGGAATATCATCCAGGTCTCAGTGCTGTTTCTTGAACAAAGCCAGAAACCACGTTAAGAAGCAGAGAGAGAGAAAAAATGATAACAAAACAAATGCTATTTGCGAAGTATTCAAGAAGACACACCCTATCCGAGGCATATGGAAAATATTGGCTAGTGGCACATTCTAATTTAGAAATAAGATTAAAACAGACCCAAAGAGAGAAGGAAAACGTTGGCCAGGGAAAACATAAATACAATTAAAAATAAACAGAGAGACAGAATAATCAATTCAGTGAATATCAGCTGGTAAAGAGTTTAATGCCAAACATAAAAACAGAGGACGATACATGGGGTTTAATGAGCACCAGAACCCCAAAAGAACACAAAGGTCCAGGAGAAAACTGCGGAGAAACCAGAAATAAAAAGAAGTGGAGAAAAGTTAACAGAACAGGAGAAGGAAGAAAGCAGGAAAAAGCAGGGAGCCTTGATCCTGTGTAACCACCTAGGAGAAAAGGGAGTTAAAATGGGGAAAAGGTAAGACAAGATAAGAGCACGGCCAACTTATTTTATGGGGTGTTTTGTGCTGTGCAAGGCTCTGTTGAAAATCTGGCCAGGATCCAGGTGGAGACTTGCGTTGACTGAAAAAAGCCTCACCAGCAGATAAAGGACGGGGTGAGCTTCCACCCCCAGCAGGGCCTAGAGGAAAAATGTTTACCTTCCCTCCCCAGGTCCCTCTACTGACTCTCCATGACAAAACTCTGCTTGGAACCATTTTCCAAGCCTTCCAGAGCAGATGTTGGCGATACACGAGGGCTACGTACAGTTGGGGGTCAAGGGTCCCCTCCATCTGGACCTGCCTTCCATACCCAAGTACCCAACCCACCCCTTGGTCTGAGCTTTAATTTCAACAATATTTGAAAGCCCCCCAAAGTAACAAGACTTTGCTTACAATCAAATCTGAGAAGAGGGGGGAAAGAGCAAAAATGAAGGTCTCTAGCTTGAAAAGATAAATAATTACTTCATCAACATAACAGAAACAGAAAGGAAGGCAACAGTCCGGAGGGAAAAAAAATAAGACATTTTTTGTCCTTGAAAGGTTAAGCTTTAAAGAACAAGCAGGCAGCTGTGGAAGAAAAGCAAGACAAAATCAAAGATTTTTAAAAAAACCCACAAAAATCAGATCAGAGATATCAAAGAATAACGGCACATCATCGGCAGAGACATGATAATTATTACCAAAGAAGTGAATAAATGAAGCAAAGAAAAGTAAAGAGGTAACAGTCTAACACAGAAGCTTGAGGAGGCTCGATTGAGGAAAGGCAGGAAATGACCCCTGAACATTGTATGAAAAGTGCGAGGAAATACAGAACAGAACTAAGAAAACTAGGAAAGACCACACTCACAGAAAGGAAAACGGGGAGCAAAATTTAAAACGTAAGACACACCAAGAGGAAGTGGATTGCCTGACCCTGCTTTTTAGAGAGAGGCAGCTACTTTGAGTAAACAAAGGTCTTGGTTGGTACGATTCTGCACTTTTAGAATGCCAGACTGTCCTGCTGTTTTAGGCAACGATCCTTGCACCAGATATTGGTCGGTCTGAACCAAATGCCCCAACGGCATTCACCTTCCCCGGGGCTGTTGCTGAGACAGAGGGCAAGCCAACTCTCTGCCTAAGAAGCAGCGCTCAGCGGGTGGGTTTGGTGGGAAAGCACAGCCTTCTTTTTCTACACATGGGCAACGGATGCACAGCAGACTCCCTTCTTGTCTAAAGAGATCTTTCTTCCCCTCCACACACCTGTATTTTCCTTCCAGAGAATTCTAGGGCCATCCACGGGTCCCTGAGTGCCCCCTCCGGTCAAGCTAAGGCATCCCTGAAAGATGATGAGGCCACCTTGCCCAACACCTTGTGAAGCAGCCTGTGCCATCGTTGACAATAAGGAAGATCTTTGTAACTTTTAGTCACAATCACAGGCTTGTTGGTTGGCTCCTTCTCTCTGGAACATCAGAAAACAAGCTTGGTTTATGCGCCAGGTGACAACCCTGCAGGTATCTGAAGATAGCTACGAGGCCACCTTTTGGTGTTTTTTCTCCAGGTTAAAACAAAGCCCAGGTATCTCAGCTTGGTTTCCAGACCCTTTCCACCAGTTATTCAGTCTCAGATGCAGCCGCAGTTTATGACAACACATGCATAGTTTGCTCATGCCAACCCATGAGGAAATGGGTCAACCCCAGCCAAAACACCGGCTGAAGGCTCAAGTAACAGTTTCGTGTGATAGCAGGAGCCACCGAGGAGAACACTTGGGGGTGGGGGTGGGTGGTCTGTCTTGTAACTCAGAAAGTCCTACCATGGACACATCTTCCACTGGATAACGAGCCCTTTCTTATGAGTGAGTCGTGGGCTTGCTTGTCAAATGCAACGCAATCGACATCGCTTGCAACACTAGGATGTTGAGGAACTCAAAGGAAGATTGTTACAGTGATGTCCCACTGTAACCCCATGGAATCCAAGAAGCCTGCATGTAAATCTCACTGGTTCCTGCGGAGCAAGGATCGCCCACTTCCCGAGTGCAAAGAGAGCTTGTCTGCAGGAGGACACTGGGCCCCAACGCCGTTTTTCTCCACTGCCGCATAAAGAGTCGCACAGCAACGAGAGGGCACAGGCCCACGTGGAAACGAGAGTCTGTTGCTCATATTTTTCCTCCCTTCTTCTTGCAAAGCACAAAAGTTTGGGTTTATTTTTAGTCCCACACAGGCTTTGGGGCTCAGGCCAGGGTATAATTATTTCCCCCCTTTTAACTTTCCTGCGATGAGGATTTTATGCTCGCAAGACCCAGCTCTGCCCATACCAGCCTGTACTTCATCCGAGGCAGAATTCCTCCGAGAAAGCCTTATTAATGAGCTCGCAAACGAGCACCCAACTGGGAAATGTCACAAACAAGAGAGGCTAATGCTCCAGAAAATCAAATAACTGAACACTCGGCTGATCGTGGTGCCTTTCATATTTACAATAATAGTAATAATATTTTTTTTTAAAAAAACCCTCCTTAAATCATATATTTTGAAAGGGTCAATACCTCACCGTACAAAACAACTCATTTATTTATGTTCAGAACTCTCCAGATGATAAATTATATTGATGCTAATCACTTCACTGCATACAGTACTATTGCAATTAATATTTTGCACTCACCAGAAACATGCA